TTTTTTTTTTTGTTCCTTTTTTTTTTCCTCCCTCCAGTGAATACTTGGAAGCACATCAGGCTGAGTTGGATTATCTCTCTGGTCGTCACAAAGATACGAAGAGGAATTCCAGATTGGTAAGAATACTTCTGACATCAATCACTGTAATTACTGTAAGAATGCTGGTATGAGAATCGATGGTGTCTCTCACTTCTGGGACTGCCAGGGTTTTCCAGTTCTAGCATCGCAGTGCGACACAGCAGTGCAGGACAGCTTGAAGTCTACCACGCAAGTGTGGTTGGTTCTTGGTGCTGGAATGTCTTGCATCGTATCTCTAGATGTGAGAATTGAGCTTGGGATTTCCAACATCCAGCTGTGATTTTTGTTCAGATCACTTTCCTTTTCTTATTGTGCTGGTGCCAGTTTGGTGGTTGGTGTTTGTGCCTGCCTCTAGATTGGAATAGCCACAGAGGTCAGGCTTGGTGTGGTAGATGTGACCTAGCAACTTAGATTCTACTGTGTTCTCAGATCCGTAGGAGTACCTTCAGCAACAGTGTTGATGAAAAGACAATTAATAGATCCAGTTTGCCTTTTTTTTGGGACGTAAAGTTGTCTTTCATAGCTAGATTTTAACAAGTTAATCTCCCGTGTGCCATTGCCAACATCCAGATCCTTGTTACAGCTGATGATGAGACTGTCATCATCTCAGTTCAGGAATCTGGGTACAAAAACAAACTCCTCACAGAAAAAGAGAATACTAATAGATAAAAGGGATATGTGAGCAGTGGCTCTTAATTTACTGCAATTAAAGATTTGCATAGTGGTAGTGTAGTAATTATGAAAATATCTTTAGTATGTACAAATATACACTCTCCTATTCAGCTGGTTGTATTTCTTTTTCAGGCCTTCTATTATGACCTGGATAAGGTAAGACTTGTGACACTGCAAAAAAGAGAAAAATTGGAATGATGATCACTCTGTTACATAAAGATATCTAATTATATTTGAACAACAACATATATTGGAACAACTTCTCAAGTGCCTTTTTTCCCTTCTTAAAAGCAAATTCGCTCTGTGGAGAGATACATCAGAAAACTGGAGTTTCACATAAGCAAGGTGAGGGAATTTTTGCTTTGTAAGGCTTGTGCTGCTGTACCAGCGCTCTCTGAATAAAAAAGAAAAAACGCTTCCACTGCAGCTTCTTTAACGGAGAACAACGCTGGGTACTTTTCAAAAGCTGTAAGCACTCGATTACAGAAGGAGGGTTTGTTTGTTTATTTTTTTT